AATGGAGATAGCCAACCTATCAGATGCAGAGTTCAAAACGCTAGTGATCGGGACACTCAGAGAACTTCTTGGGTACAGCAAAAAAAAAAAAGGAAAGGAAGGTTACATTAAGTGAAATAAAGAAAAATCTACAGGGAATCAACAGAAAAGGGAAGGAAGCCAGGATTCAAACCAAAGATTTGGAGCAGAAGGGAGAGATAAACATTCAACCAGAACAGAAAGAAGAAACAAGAATTCAAACAAACAAAGATAAAGCACCTAAATCCAAGAATTGGTGTTTGTCATAGCAGCAGTTTAAACAGTGGTGCTGACAGCAAGCAGATCTTGTCGCCTTTAGGGGCTGTGGCTTTGCCCCTTGAAGTGAATTCAAAGGTTCTACACTCTTGGTGGCAAAAAAAAAAAAAGAAAGAAAAACAAGGATAGGCTTAGGAACCTCTGGGACATATCCAAATGTGCCAACATCTGAATCATATGGATGCAAGAAGGTAAGAGGAAGAGAAAGAAATTGAAAACTTATTTGAAAAAATAATGAAAGAAAACTTCCATAATTTGGTGAAGGAAATAGACATACAAGTCCAGGAATCTCAGAGAGTCCCAAACAAGTTGGACTCAAAGAGGAACACACCAAGATACATCATAATTAAAATGCCAACGGTTAAAGATAAAAAGAGAATCTTAAAAGCAGCAAGAGAAAAGCAAAGAGTTACCTCCAAAGGAGTTCCCGTAAGACTATCAGCTGATTTCTCAAAAGAAACCTTGCAGGCAAGAAGGGACTGGAAAGAAGTATTCAAAATGATTAAAAGCAAGGACTTATAACCTAGATTATTCTATCCAGCAAAGCTATCATTTAGAATGGAAGGGCAGATAAAGTGCTTCCCAGACAACGTAAAACTAAAGGAGTTCATCACCACCAGGCCGTTATTATAGGAAATGTTAAAGGGACTTATCGTATTTTTGCCATGTAAAATGTGCTCCCATGTGTAATGCGCAGCCACATTTTTGGCCCAAACTTTCAGGGAAAAAATCTTTCATTTTAACTTTTTAATTCAATTTTTTATATATTTATATTCAGAAACAAAACTGATGATCATATTTCAGGGTATTGTTTTGTATATGGATATAATTATTGCTTTCTAGAGTTACACTTTAACGTTTAAGCATAAATAAAAGAATTAAAAACATTTATAGATACAGAATTAGTACTACCCATGTATAATGTGCATCCTTATTTTTTCTTCAAATATTTGGGCAAAAATGTGCACATTATACATGGCAAAATATGGTATTTAAGAAAAAGAAGATCAAAGCCACAAACATTAAAAAGGCAATAAATTCACATCTATCAACAACTGAATCTAAACACCAAACAAACAAAAGAAGCAACCATGGTGGGCGGTAGGCAGAGACAAATGTATTTGAAAAAAATAATTAATTAATTAAGAGAAAAAAAGAAGCAACCAGAACAGGAACAAAAGCATAGGTATGGAGATCATTTGGAGGATTGTCAGCTGGGAGGAGGAAAGGGGAGAATGGGGGAAATGGTACAGAGATTAAGAAGCATACTTGGTAGGAACAAAATAGGAGGATGTTAAGAATAGCATAGATGCTCTGGCTGGTGTGGCTCAGTGGCTTGAGCGCTGGCCTGCAAGCTGAAGGTCGCCAGTTCAATTCCCATTCAGGGCACATGCCTGGGTTGCAGACCAGGTCCCCGGTAGGGGGCGCACAAGATGCAACCACTCATTGATGTTTCTCTCCCTGTCTTTCTCCCTCCCTTCGCTTCTCTAAACTAAATAAACCAAACCTTTTAGAAAACAAATAAATCAATCCCACTCAAAAACACTGTTAATCTCTGATAAAACACAAAGAAGGGACTTACCACACAAATGATTTAACTTTTACTATGGAATTTTCAAGTATGTACACAAGTAGAAAGAATCATACAATGAATTTGATATGCCCATTTTCATAGGACTTTACGTTATAAAATAGGGCCCTGTAGCTCTCTGTGAAAGAAAATTTCTAGAAATCCTGTGATCTTGTTAAAAATCATTGATTTGTTCAATCTAAACATTTCAAACATGCCTGTTTTTCCCCATTTTAAAGCATACCTGGACCCTCCGTAGCTGAAGGGAGCTGGACCTCTCTGGATCTTTTGGAGGGCCTGTCCCCAGGAAGCAGTTGCTGAGAACTGATGCCCCAGGTAGAACAGAGCTGGAAGGCAGGGTGCCAGCCTCCCTTTCAGCCCCATCCCAGGCTGCAGAACCTGGGCTGGGAACAGCTGACTCTACTACACTGTGCCGGCGGGCAGGCCTGCAGCAGGTGACGGGGACATCTAACTCCAGGACCGGCTAGGGGGCCTTCCCCTGTCTCCAGAGGAATTCAGTCAAATAGCATCACAGTGTAAACCTCTGTTTGACCAGCTTGTTCTCAATGGTGTCGGCTGTCAGGTGGGATTTGAGATCTTGGCTCTGCCCCGTGAGGACCTTCCAGTCTGCTGGGAGGCGGGCAAAGAATGTATCTGAGGCAAAGCAATAGTGCCAACAATTGTGCCTGCATAGGGTTTGGGTCATTGTTTGCTTAGGAGGTTACTCTGTGGGTGACCCTAAGCCAAGGAGTGTACTCAGGGCAGGGCCTCCAGCTTCCTCTTCTGTTGTGGTTCCCACAGTGCCAAGGGCCTACTGAGCTCACAGTGAATGTCAATGCTAGCTTTTGACTGAAACTTTCCCCTTTGTATCCGCCTCTGTGTCTCTCAGCATCTCTGTCTCTAATGGTCTCTAGCTTGCTCCTGTTTCCCAACATCCTTCCCGACCCCCCGGGGAGCAGAGCTGGCGGGGAGGGGAGCAGTGGGAATGAGACCGTGTCCTGTTCTCACCAAGGACAATAAGGGCCGGAAAGGGCTGGCCTGGCGCAGACTCCCCCTCCCGGCCTGCCCCGAGCTCCTTCACCCGGCCCTGACCCTCTATTGTGCCCTACATGCCAGGCACCCCCCCACGCCAGTTTCCGCACAAGGGGAGTCCAGCCTCTGCGGGGTTCAGCAGCCTCCTTGCCCGTCTCACGTTCACACTGCCTTCTTGTTCATGGTATCACTTCCCGCCCCGAGGAGCGCCCTATGGGCCAGCCTCCCCGTTCATACCCCCTCCCCCCGTATTATTTACTCTTGTTTCCGGAGCAGGCATAGGAGGCATGGGTGTAGGGGCCGCGTGTGAGAGAACAGGAGGCAGGAGGAAACATCTGGCTTCCCTCTGTCCTCCGGGGCTGGGACTGCTCCTCTACCCCGCAGTCCTCCAGTCTCTCAGGGTGGAGCAGAGCCCCAGGAGTCCAAGGGCCAACAGGTTAGCACTTTTGCCCTTCTCACCTTCAGGTCTCCAGAAGCGACGAAACCCTCCCACCCCCTTACTTAATGACAGTGATCAGGTGGCTGGGATATCTTTGCCAGGGTTAATTGGTAGGTCAGGTACAGGCAGCCTACAACTAGGCACCCCAGAGATAGGCTGGGTGGAGGGCTGAGGTTGGCGCCAACCTGCCTTGTAAATGCATTCCCTGAGGAAGGGGTCATTATTTCTGGGCCACCTGCTGTCCCTGGTGCCTACGCAGTGGGTCCCCTGGCACCTGATCTCCAGCTCCTCCCCGACCTTCCTTAGTCTGGCCTCACCCAAGCTCTCATCTTGGGAGGTAAGCTGCTCTCAGATGGCCAGATACCCCCAGCTGTGTCCACTCTCACGTGGCCTGGGACCTGGTCCTCTGCCCACTGCTCCCACCTCAGGTCAAGACAAAGTCAGAGTGAGACCCAGGTCCAACCCAATCTCCTCGTAGGTCCAGGGCCCATTTTGGACAACCTCTCCTCCTTTCCGAGGGTCTGACATACTGCAACCCCCCAACCATCACTAGTTAAGTTGGAGCCTAGAGCTGTTATTCCTTCTCAGGGAGGCTCTGGTCTCTGTTAACTCCTGGCCTCTGCTCCCGGCCTAGGTGAGCAAGGAGACTTGCCCCAGGCTTCAGCCCTCCCAAGTAAGCTAGACTTCTGGGTCCTCCAAGAAGGCTGGCTTCCGCTGAAGATCCAGCAGCAACCCTCTTCAGCCCTGGGAGTGTGTTTGCAAGGTACACTGTTGCTAGGCTCCTGGACACGAGCCATTGGTGCCCTCTGCAGGCATCCCAGGGAAACTACATAGCACTCCCTCAGCCTAGCGACAGGAGAAAGGGTTTGGGATTTCTGCCACAAATGGGAGTTGGGGTAGGCCTCTAATAAGAGGAAGTTGGGGAGTGGGGCTCTAATCCTTGACCTGAACTCCTTTGACTCACTTCTTCATCTTCATTAGTTCTTCCTTCCTCACTTAGGACATCCTATCTCTCATTTATTTCTACCAAGGCTGGCTCCAATGTTGATGACCTTGTCCCTATCGTTTTATATACTTTGCTAAAACTTGGTAAGCTCCTAATCTCTTTGCTACTAGAGAGAAAAAAATGGAGGAGATGGAACAGCAATCAATCCTAGGAGTCTTTCTAAACACAGGCGTATGTCCATGGTGAGGTAGAATAGGTAGACAATGTCAGTAAGGAATCCTACCCACAGACGTGGAGAAGGGGAGGGGGCTAGTTTGCTGAGTGGGAACCAGGGAGTAACAAAGCCCACACAGGTATAAACGGAACCCCGTGGGGAGGTGTAAGGGTGAGAAGCCTTTCCTTCCCTTACTCTTCTGTTCCAAGAGCTATTCCAGTTCTGACGGGCTTTCTTGCCCTGCAGCCTTTACCCCTGTTCCCAAAGGTCAAGTCTGCTGATCGCTGGTGCACTTTTTTCTATGATGAGACACACGCATATGTCACTTCAGTGCCTGGCAAAACACCTGGCCACTCACGGCACTTTGTAAGTATTTGGTAAAAATGTACCTTGGTGGAAGAAAAGCCCCACCACCCCACCATCCCCGAGTTCTGAAAACAGCAGGTACCCATGTGCCCAAACGTTTATGCACCCGCAGGCAATGGCAAGAGAGGGCCATAGCGTCCCATAGCTCACAGGGCTACAAACAATCAATTTTATTGAATATTCAAAAGGTCAGTTTCTCTTTTTGCCCTTGCCAGTGACCTTGGCTGGTGTGAGGACTGGAGCTGTTGCCTGATACAGAGTGGAGGAGATCTTGTTGATGTAGTACAGACCGACCATGGAGAAGATGAAGCTACAGGGGAAGACAAAAGGGTCACGGCATCGGCGGGTATGCTCCCGGCCGGCGCTTCCCAGGGCAGACGCCAGACGCCAGCCTCAGGAAGAATCCGGACCCAGGCCTAGGGAAATGGGGAAGGGCGCGAGAGGGAGGAGAGCGGGGAAGGGCAGTCTGGGGAAGGATAGCACCACTGCAGGAGGGTGCAGGACCAAAGGACAGGATACCCCTTGCCCAGCTGTCAGGCACTTACCAAGTGGTGACACAGACTCGGTGGATGAGGCCAGATGCAAAGAGAGCTAACAGGAGGCAGAGGAGAACTGCGGAGGCAAGAGGGGACAAGGAGGATGGAAGTCAGAATGGAAACACCAGGCACTCATACGTGAAGTCTAGGAGAAACCTGGGGCCTTCTGAATCTTGGGGAACCTGGTTGGAGGGCTATGGCATGACGACTACAGGAGAACCTCAGATGCCTTGCTGACGCCCAGGACATGGAGGCAGGAGAGGCATGCTCGTCACCAGCTCTGCCCCAGATATCACTGAACTTCCCTATCCTGGATTTCCTCTGGGGAAAAGCGATAGCAGAGTCTGAAGGGCAAGGTTTTCTCCCATTTGGGGAAGAGGGTCAAGGCCTCTCCAACAAAAGCCAGCCAATGAGGATCAACTCATTAAACTGGTCAGTGGTGGAAGCCAAGGGCCACACTCCGTAGACACAGGTTGGAGGGCAGAGTGCCCGGATACACATGCCCATGGGGGCAGAAGAGTGTCTCAGGCTATCCAGGGTCTGACTGGAAAGGCGGTGGAAGGGCAGAAAGCAAAGGCAAACCCCACCTGCCACGTGGGGACTAGCAAAGAGGGTCAAGAACCCTGCCCCACAACAATGGATTCTTTCTCAAGTAAATGAAGACAATTCACATGGAAACATATCTGACAGAGAGAAGTCCTGGGGCTGCTGGATGGAAGGAGCTCTGGAAGCTTGCCACAGGGCTAGGGGGTGAGAGCAAGACCTAGAGGTGGCAACACTGATGATTGTTCTACCACAGGAAGGCTTCACATGAGAAGGCATCTGCTCCTTTTTTTTTTTTTTTAAACATTTATAAGATACATTTATTATTTCAACCTTGAAACCCATCAATCAAGAATTTAGCCTTCTGAGCATCGACAGCCATTGTCTGATCCATTCCCCTCTTTAAAAAACTGACGGTTATCTCAGTTGGCACAACCTTTCCATCCTTAAGGTACTTTTCAGTGAGTTCACCATACTGTGAATCAGGGTTTTTCCTTTCATCACAAAATTCTCCTGTAGAAAGGTGTGTGTAGCCACATTTCTGGATGATGTGGCGGCACTGGTTCCCTTTGCCGGCACCAGGACCAACAAGGATTATGACCAGCAGCCTCATGAGGTGGTCAGGGCAGAAGAAAAGTGGCCAGCTCGTCACCAGTGGGAAGCTAAGGCCCAGGACGTGCAGCAGCCCACAGCCAGCCCTGTAGCATAGGACAGTGATGGAGCTGACGGCAGCTGGACCGGCAAGAAGCGGGTGGGTCTGGGCTGAGCCGCGAGGCTGCCGAGGCCTGGCCACTGGGCCTCTGTACCTCTGCTGCACTGACAGGGGCCTCTGCTGTCAAGTTTTGAGCATGTGGCATTCCTGGTATGATTGCTTTATGAACTTAATTCTCCATAAATAACTAAGTCATCAAATGTCAATTACATATGCAATAACAAGGATATCAGACAGGAAACAATCTCACAGTTATTTTGATTTGGTCAGGATTCCTGCTGACCCAGAAACTTGGTGTATTAGGCTCTTCACAATCATCTCAGGGAGAATTCACTAATATTGGGTCAATTTCGCATCCTACCTCTTTAACGAACTTGGTCCTTCCTGCTGTTTCTTCCGGTGGGAATAAAAAACACCTCCCCATGATGTATGCAAAATGGGTCCAAACTTGTCTGCTCCCCTCAAACTTTCCCTGGGAACTGTCCAGAAGGCAACTGAGTTTCTTGCTTTCAGAGGCCTTCTCTTCCAGCTCCCATTCCAGGAGCTAGCTAAAGTCTTGGATCCACAGTGTCATCGGACTTATTAACATATTTCCTTCTCCTAAACAACCTTTACCTTCTAAGCACCTGGAAATTCAGTACTGTGTTGCGGGAGGTTAGAGGAGAGTGTCCAAATTCTCAACCCCCAATTTTCACTTACTCTCAGGGAAGATCTTTGCTTGGAATCCTTTGCCAAAGACAAGATTCTCCAGATTATTGAAGGCCTGGGTTGAGGGAATTAAGGAGTAGGGCAGAACTGTGTGGGCAATGGGATCAGCACAAGCATGCGTGGCCCTCCACCCGTCCTACCCTCAAACACCTCGCCCCCCTCCACTGCAGGAGGATACAGTGAGAGAGAAGACAAAGAGGCCGGAGCCCAGCAGGCCCCCCTGGATGGTGAGCCACTCGGTGGAGGCCAGCTGGCGGCTGTACATCTGCATCCCAGCGAAGAGCAGCAGGGACAGGAGGGAGGACAGCGCTAGCGAGGTGCCCGTACCCACCACTGGAGGGGATGAGAGAAGAGACGGGAAATCAGGCCCAGTCCTCCCTCCAGGAGCCGCAGGCTGATTCTGCAGGTCCCGAAGTTCGAGGGCCCGACCACTTCGAAGCACTCCCGGGGCCTGGAGCAATACTCCCCAACTCCCCGCACTACACGGCGACCCCCAGGAATTCCTCAGCCCGGGACGCGCGGAACCCTCCGTCCGGTCCAGTGCAAGCTGGCCCGCCCCCTGGAACCCAGGACACGTCAGCTTTGAGTGGAGGGGACCAGGAAAGCTGGTCTGCCCCAACCCGGACCCCCACTACTCCGTCCGGGAGATCCCGCAGGTCTTGTTACCCATCACGCCCTGCCGTGGGTCCAACAGACGCCTGTGGCCAAAAAAGACGGGAGACGAACCGGATGCGTTAGCACCTAGCGCAAACTTGCTTCCCCCACGTCTTCCTCTTTCTACCCCTGGGCGCCTGTATGTGGCGACCTCTTCCGGCAGGGAGGAAATATTGCGTCAAAGAGCATCCAGAGCCACCGCCCTAGTCCCCGGTCCTTACCCGCACTCTGAGCAACTTCTGCCTCTCAATTCAAGCTGGCTGCACTTAACTCTTCAAGTTACTGGGACTACGGCCTATAGCCTCTTACCCACCTCTGCCTGCTTTATGTCACCTCTAATGCCTGTTCTTCAAGCCTCCCTCCCACTCAATCACTGACTCGACATGTCCCGTAGACTCTCGGCCAAACCAAAATCTAGTCCTGCCATCCTGGAGTCCATCTTTATCTAAAACTATTCTTCTGCTTTATACGAGTAAGATTAGGAGCCGAGGAAGAATGCGAACTTAAGATATGGTTCTCCCCTCAACACCATTCCATGTTACACCGCCCTCCACCACCACCGCCTTCTGAGAACCACGTGGGGAAAACGATTTCCCACCTCCTACCCTGACTGGCGCTGGTTGAGGTTTGTCCCTGGAGCATGCGCAGTGATATTTTACCCCCACCCCTTCCCACACCCCCACCGAGCTCCTGCATTAAGCCCGGGGTTCTCAGCCGCTGCCCGGATCGGGCACCCGGGGGCGGGCGGGCAAGGTAGGGCCATGGCTGAGGGTGAGGATATGCAGACCTTCACTTCCATCATGGATGCACTGGTCCGCATCAGTGTGAGTTAAGGTGGGGTCGAGGGGAAGGGGAGGTGGAGTATAGCGGTCTGGGGCAGGCCGGGACCTCGAACAGGTGGAAATCCAGCAAGATGCTGGGATGCAGGCAGGGGACTGGTGATGGCAAGAAAAGACTGGGAGGGTCGGGGTGTAGGAATGAGAGGGTAGTCCCGGGGGCAGCCCAGAGATGGGTGCCATGAAGGCGTCCATCTGCTGGGGTGTGAGAAGCCAGGAGCTGCCCGGGCGCAGCGGGTGGGCTGGGGTAGTGGCCAACAGTGCAGTAGGGCTGGGGCTGCAGAGCAATGGGGCTGTCCTGTGAGGAGGGGGCGTTTGTGAACTTGAAAATTTCCCAAGAAAACTGAGGACAGGTGGAGGTGTTGAAGGAGCCGCCCCAGGGTGTAGTTCTCAATTTGGACAGCTCCGCGAGACCCCACCCCACCGCACCCCCACTCCGGGCTGCCTCCGAGCCTCCTGCCGTTGTCATGGCAACCCATGCCCGGCTCTCCCAGGGGCGGTGCCAACCCTGCTCTCCCCCCTCTTTCTTCCCCCTCCCTCCACGTCCCTCCCTCCTTTGTCAGCTGCGCCCCTGACCGGGATGGCTGCGAAGAGAGGGACCAAGGTGAGGTGAGGGGGTGGGGCGTAGCTTGAGGACCCTGGCCACTAAGAAAGGGAGGAGAGTACTTCCGGTGGGGAGGGGGCGAGTAGGCGAGGCGTTTGTTTACCCCTTGCTTGGGGAGGGGTATGCGACGACCTCGGATTACGCCGGGGGAGGGAGCGGGAGGTCTGGTTGGTGGGGGGCGAAGGAAAATGGGTTAGTGTAACGGGGAACAGAAGGAGACGGTTGGGGAAGTGAAGGATGGTGGATGGAGGCTGGGGTTGCCGCAGGCCGGAGTCGCGGCAGGAAGACTGCCAGGGTGAGCAAAAGGATGGAGAAAGAGCTGCGCCTGCCTATAAGGAGGAATCACACGGGGCCGGAGGCGAGGGGAGGGAGGGTGCCAGAGAAGGGGGCGGGGGTCGGCACCTAGGTGTCGAATGGACTGTGTCCTTGAAAGAAGTGCCGGAGGCAGCAGCAGAGGTGGGGGGAGGAGGCAATGGCCAGGTGAGAGGGGCTGCAGATCCGGATGGGCAGGCGGAGTGGAGGGGGTGGCGTTTGACTCTGGGAGACTCAAGCTCCAACCAGGAGCTCCAGCCATCCCTCCTCCTCCGTAGCCCTTTAGCTCTGCAGTAGGGAAACCGAGGCAAGATACAGAGCTGAGAAGGTCTATGAACCAGGCCTAGGCTGGTGCTGGGGAAAAGCCATAGGTAGTTTGTCTTGCCCCTTCCCAAGATTCCCTTGGGTCTCCAAGGGCAGCTGAGAGGCCTGTCAAGATAAGCCCTCGTGTCCAAGCTCTGACCCAACCTCCTGGTCCCTTCACAGACCAGCATGAAGAACATGGAGAAGGAACTGCTGTGTCCAGTGTGCCAAGAGATGTACAAGCAGCCGTTGGTGCTGCCCTGTACCCACAACGTGTGCCAGGCCTGTGCCCGTGAGGTGCTAGGGCAGCAGGGCTATGTAGGCCATGGTGGGGATCCCAGCTCCGAACCTACCTCTCCTGCCTCCACCCCTTCCACCCGAAGTCCCCGTCTCTCTCGCAGAACTCTCCCCAAGCCAGACCGCTTGGACCGGCTGCTTAAATCAGGTGGGACTGGGGCTTGTGGGATGGGGGTGAGGATACTGGGATGTTTATCAGGAAGATGAAAGGGTTCCATCCCTGGCCAGGGGCATCTGTCTGTCTTTCAGGGGGTGGAGATAGTGCTCATTTAGGCTCTAATAATTCAGTTGACCTATGGCATAGTGAAAATTAAATTTTGTAAAGATTTTATTCATCTTTAGAGAGAGGGGAAGGGAGAAAGGGAAAGAAACATGAGTGTGTGAGGAAACATCAATCAGTTGCGTCTCACACAACAACTGGGGACGTGGCCCACAACCCAGGCATATGCCCTGACTGGGAATCAAACCGACAACACTTTGGTTCACAGGCCAGCTCTCAATGTGCTGAGCCACACCAGCCGGGGCTAATTTTTGAATTGAACAGACTTTCCCCACCCCTAGCCAGCTGTAATTTTCACCTCTCTACCTCCCCTACCCATCCACAGGCTTTGGGACATACCCCGGGCGCAAGCGAGGAGCTTTGCACCCCCAGGTGATCACGTTCCCATGCCCAGCCTGCCAGGGTGATGTGGAGCTGGGGGAGCGAGGCCTGGCAGGCCTGTTCCGGAACCTGACCCTGGAGCGTGTGGTAGAACGCTACCGCCAGAGTGTGAGTGTGGGAGGCGCCATCCTGTGCCAGCTGTGCAAGCCCCCACCTCTAGAGGCCACCAAGGGCTGCACCGAGTGCCGTGCCACCTTCTGCAATGAGTGCTTCAAGCTATTCCACCCCTGGGGCACCCAAAAGGCCCAGCATGAGCCCACCCTGCCCACCCTCTCGTTTCGCCCCAAGGTGAGCCAGCACTTGTAGGGCTTGAGAAGGTAGCAGTATGGTAGAGCTGGATGGGTGGGGGTGCCTGGCATTGTGGGCCTCTGAAAGGAGGTGGGCAGGGTTTTGCCATTGCCAAGCTCCTTTTTCTGTAACAACAACAAAAAAATGCGCTAGCCCTGGCTGGTGTAGCTCAGTGGACTGAGTGCTGGTCTGGGAACCAAAAGGTCACCGGTTTGGTTTCTGGACAAATCTTTGAACATCTTTGAGCCTTCATCTCATCTGCTGAATGAGGCTGATACTGTCTGTCCTGCAATATTTACACCCACAGAGCTGTTCAGAGGATCACATGATAAATATGTATCAAGGACTTATGTGCCTAGTGCTGTTCTAGGCATTGTGATGTGAAGGAGAACAAGGTAGACAAGGGTAATTATTAACCACAGGCTAAGATTAATTGTCATCATTATTATTGTTACTATATCGTTCCTGAGGTAGATGAAGGGAAGAGCTATGCTGGTGCCTGGAGAGTGCAGGACAGGCTCTCTTTGATGCCAGCATGTACCACCAGGGGGCACCATGGAGCACTACCAGCTGAGCTCCCTTCCACCCCAATCTGGTCAGTGGAGGGAGGGCACCAAATTTCTCCTGTGGCAGGTCAGCGCCCTTATACACCCACTGGCTGACTATGACTGCTCTTTCTGTTCCCAGGGCCTAATGTGCCCGGACCACAAGGAAGAGGTGACCCACTACTGCAAGACATGCCAGCGGCTGGTATGCCAACTCTGCCGAGTGAGGCGCACCCACAGTGGGCACAAGATCACACCAGTGCTCAGTGCCTACCAGGCCCTCAAGGTGAGGACCACCCCCCTACACACACTCAGCCCCAGTGTTAACTCACTCACGCCTCCTCTTAACTGCTGGCTTCTGCCAAGCTGGGTGTGATGCCTACCTTTTCCTCCCCGCCCAGGACAAACTGACAAAGAGCCTGACATACATCCTGGGAAACCAGGACACAGTACAGACCCAGATCTGTGAGCTGGAGGAGACCGTGAGGCACACTGAGGTGAGGGAGGGCAGAGAGGTGGCCCTCGGTCCTACCCAGGGGTGGAAGCGGCAAGGGGGTGTGGGTAGGCATGGCCCAATCACCTGGTTGCAAGCTCAGGAAGCCAGTGTGGGGTCCATGAACGTGTTAAGGTTCTAGTTAAACCAGGTTGGCAGGAACATCAATGCCCCAGGGCAGGCTGTACCTGGAGCTACAGTGGGGACAGGGTGGCTATCACTCAGGACAGGGAGAGCTTGAAAAGCCCCAGGGACATAGCTCAGATGCCCTGAGGCTCAGGTGCCTGCTGAGGATGGCATATATCCCTGGAGCAATGGCAATGGCTCTGATACTGTCTTCCAGATTGCGTGAGTCAGCTGACACGGGATGGGCCATGAGCATGGCACAGATGCCAACGGATGTTAATGCAGGCCCTGTGGGCATCAGTACGCTCATGCCCTCTTTTATTTGGCGGAGTCCTTAGGGATTTGGTGTGGGCTCCAGGAAGGTTAGCACAAATGGTCAGGAGCTGAGCCCCTCTGGGTATACAGGTGCTTTTGGAGCCATAAACCTCCCCCTGTTGAAATGGGTGGGTAGGATTTCACCAGATTCCCTGTGATCATAGCCATGGTGTGGTACCCTGGGAGGCTGGGACAGGCCCTGCCTTGCAGAAAATAGTAAGTGTTGCTCTCTGGGCAGGTGAGTGGTCAGCAGGCCAAGGAGGAGGTGTCCCAGCTGGTTCGGGGGCTGGGGGCTGTGCTGGAAGAGAAGAGGGCATCGCTGCTTCAGGCCATAGAGGAATGCCAGCAGGAGCGGCTGG